TTCCCCCCTCATTTTTCCCCCCCCCCCCCCCCGTCATAATCATGAAGCTCTAAAAAACATCTAAATATTCAGTCTCTCTATGTTATGGATCAGTGCATTGAGTTTGCGGCATACAGATTCGGCCTGAGTCACAAGGATCAGTTCCAAACAGATGGCATGATTTCCATTTAGATTGCCGAAACGTTTGCTTCTTCTACACCTCTTAGACACAGACTTTAATCCGCTCTGCTGCTGTGCTCACATCTGGATGGAAAGTTCGGCAAGGTGGGCTTCAGCCAAAAAAGACTCGTCGTCTCCTCTCCCATCGTGAAGCACTCTCTGCTCTGGGCCGACGCTTTACCCAGAATGCTAAGCTGCAGATGGGACATGGCTGGCACCGTTGGCAGGCCTCATTGGCGGGCGTGTTGGAGCGAGAAAGACAATTATTCTTTTCTGAGATCGCATGAGCCAGGCTGGAAGGTTGTGCTATTGCACACTGGGTCTCCCCTAAACTTCAAATGATTAAAGCAGAATTCCTTTTGTGCATCTTCTGTAGACGATAGATTGATTCTGGCGAGGCAACGGCTTGCTTTGTTTGGTTTACTCTGGCTTGGCACATGACGATAACTCACTACAAACACCAATCAGCCCAACAAGATATTGTGCTTCCAGACAAAGAACAGAAGCCTGGAGAGAGAGCCAAAATAATGACATTCTGATAAATAGCTGATTATATAAATGGGATTGGAGAAAAATGTGTCCAGGAAATACACAAATGATTAGTTGATGGCCATCATTTTAGAATTCTGCTAAAGTATAGAAATTCTCACCATTGATTCTATATACAATGGCCATTTTATTTTATTTTATATTTGTAAAATAGTAGGGGTATTATTAACGTATTTACTTTTTGAAAGAAAGATAATTTTAAAACCTAATTAAAGTGTTAAAGGAAAATTAATTTCGTTTGGAGAAAACCTCTAGTTTCATTTGTACAGATTCCACTTAGTTTCATGTTTTGTGTCTAATGCAGTAACATGTTTAAATGTGTCCAAATTTTTTTTGAAGTCAGTAGATGTGGACAAGATCCTATGCAATCATGAACTCCCTCCACTGCTTATTGAAAATAGTCATTGTACAATTGCCACCTTAGTACAATACATCCGCCCAAATCACAGATTCCCCCACAGACTTGCACACAAGCTCCTCTCTTTGCACTCCTCCATCGCCAGTTGTTTCCCCTTCTCTTCATGAAGAATGTCATTCTCTTGGTCTCCATGGAAAACACTGCTATTTGACCCCCATGAAAGGACCTTTCCACCATGTTGACCTTTGGTGCTCTGGTAGGAAAAGACTGCCAAATCACAGGCCTGCTTGGCTAACAAGCAGCCTCACTCAGCAGAGACATTTCTGAAAACTATCATCATGCTCTTCAAGTGAATGCTTCCAATAGTCTCTTAGGATGATATAATTCATGTGTTTCACACATGCTCTCAGATGCTGTGGGTAAGGTAGTTGTGAGTATTGTAATGAATTTTTACTCATTTGTAATTGTAGGGAATTAATTATTATTAATTCATTCAGGTTTTGAAAGGACTTGAATCTGAAAAAGTCGAGGTCCACCTGATTAAACTGATTTTTAATCTAAATGGTTTACACCCTATCAGCTACTCGGCCAGCGAGAAGATGTCAGGCTATATTACCAATTGAATATGTATTTTATGTTCTCCCTGGCCATGGGTTAACACACTTATGATAATTTGTCAGCTCTTAGAGAGGTAACGTTGATCTTGGCAAAGTTTTAACCTTGAAATTATATGACACCAAACCAATGATTTTCTATAAATGGAACATGAATTTTATTGGCTGCTCTAGATTACATCAAAACTAAAACACACATACACACACATATATACAGCTCAGAAAATTGAAGGAATGAGTTAGCGGAGTTGTATGCCGTTCAAAGTTCTAAACTCGTTTTCACGAGTGGTTTTAAAATCACCTGAGAGAATTCCAGAAGCAGAGAATTTTAGCTTCTGTTTACTGCTTAAAGTAGCTCTACACCAGTTCAGCAGAGATAAGATTTTGCTCGTTTACTTGCGTTCTGCTTGGTTGACAGCTGAGAAGCTGAGTCGTTTCTCGTGGCTACTGGATGGCTGCTGGAGGGAAATTCCTTCGCTGATTGGCTGTTGCGGTGACGTCGGAATGACGTTTGAATGAGTCCTTTTGGGAAAGCCCTCGTTGGGTTGGTTGGTTGCCAGGTTACGGAAGAGCTTCGGGTTCTTCTTCTGAGAGAGACTTTGCGTTCTGCAGAGTTGCGAAGCTTCAACTGAAGTGTTTGAGTTCATAGATGGTCTCGCTGGGCGATGTTACGGCGTGGAGGCGCTTTGTTGCGCTCACCAAGGTGAAAGCCAAAGTTCTTTAGAGTGAGAGAGTGAGAGAGCGAGCCCCAAGCAAGAGCGTTGTGTCCATTTTAAGCACGACGCAATCTTCCAATCGGACGCTGTTGCAGGGCTTAGCCACGCCCTGTGTCGTTCTTTTTTTTCATGCACAAGTCACATGCTCCGTGGGGCGTATTTCTGGAAGTTTTAAATACCTTCTGATAAAAGTATTATCACCAGAGAATGATACATAATATAAAAGTTTCACTAACACCAATGTTCGGCGAATAAGACAAGCTTTCACCCGATATTAAACTTCATATATCTTACATGCATATTAAATGATTTGTCTGCTAAAATGAGTTATAAGGCATATTAAAATATCATGGTTTCAATAACACAACACACACATATATATATACGGCATAACACATGCAGTGGATACATTTTCACTACTTTTTAGTTTTAAACGCTTGTCTGTTAAAATCGTCATGCAAAGTTCTGTTTCTTTTGTTGTAACATAAGGACGTGGGTCCGTTGGGGTTTCAGACAGGGCAGGAAGTAGGTGGTCACAAGACATGTGACAGTCATGCGTAGATATTCCGTGCTTGCCGGCCCGAGGGCGTGATTAACATAGCCGCTTCCTGTGCATACATATAATAGTTATTTTCATTGGATCACGAGGCATCACGCGGTATTTTCAGTCCTCATACAAAAGATCTCTGTGGCAACTCTTGATTAAATTAATCTGGACCTCATGATGGCTGATATCAGTGTCCGTTCATATTTAGAAATCCCTACAGTATTTTAGCATCTCCACCTAATCTTACATTCGACTCGAGAGGACCATGAATGAAGTTCTCGTTTGGGTGATATCAGGCCTTTTTTGCAGCACATCTTCACTGACATTGAAAAATGAAACTCAATTTTCCCTTGCTACTCTCCTGAGGTGGAGGGGTCCCTCTCTGATATTACACCTGCCTGAAAGCAGATAAGTGTAAGTGTGTGTGTGTGTGTGTGTGTGTGTATTGGCTGCCCAGCAGGTACCTCAGTCCTGATGTTCTAATTTACGGGGTTGTAAAGGGTTGTGGGGAGCGATTCAGGTAAAAGTATCGTCCTTTATTTTTATTTGTGGTTCCATTGGGTTGGCAGTTGAATGCCGTGGGGTCTGAAAGCTGTCAAACTTTACATGAATATGGAATCATTTCATAACACTCCATTCTCCCCTATGATCTGATGCTTGGAGTTCCAAGAGATTGCCTCCTGTAATAACAATAACCGACGCTCTACATCACTGAAAGGCTCTGGCTGCCTTTGATGTCAAAAGGAAGATTATACTGCAGAGCTGCTCCAGATAAAGGCTCAATCAAGAGGCATTTGTTGCCATTCCCTCAGATGAGTAGTAATTGCAGCAGTGTACTCTCATCCTCCTTTCGCTCTCTCACTCTCTCTCTCTCTCTCTCTCTCTCTCTCTCTATCTATATATATATATATATATATATCAAACCAGTTTCCCAAAGCAGCACTTCTTTCAAGCATAGGCTCTCAGGTACACCCCAGATCTGGTGCGGTTTTAATTAGGATTCTGTTCATCTAGATTAATCCATCTTTAAAACTAATAAAATGCTAATGCAATTAGAACATGTCCACAGAGTTTGATGAATGCATGTCTGGAAAAAACGCAAGGTCCACTTCCCTCAAATTTCTCTGATTAAATGGCCTAATGGATTAGGATTCCGAAGTGTTAATCCAACTCGATTTGACACCCCCGTCACAGAGCAGAAAATTACAAGTAAACCGAGCATGGGCAGAGGTTTAGAGGAAGTCCTCACACTTTCACACAGGGTGACTGGAATGGAAAATATTGACTATGAATCTATATGTGAATATATATATATATATATATATTGGTCAGAAAGTTTGTTCTATTTCCAAATTTCTCATAGCAGTGGTCTATTTGCAGGTGTTCTTCAGAGCAGGTGTTTTGGCTAAGTTAGAGGAAAACCGAGATATCCAGACCAGACGCAACATCACCCTGTTTCAGGCTGCATGCAGGGGCTACCTGGCCCGACATGCCTTCAAGAAGCGGAAGGTAAGTTTTCTTTACCTTATAAAAAATAATTCATACTGTAAATTATTAACAATATACTTACCACTGAAATATTAAAGACATTTTAAGCCACTTTTTGTCCCACCAGAGTGGAAATGTTTTGTGTTTGAGCGTCACTTTTCTGCTCCCAGTCAGAGCTCTCAGTGCTCGAGTTCATTTGTCCTGAGGTTTGTCTCAAGAGTTCGTCAGAATGTCGTTGCTGTCTTGAGAAAATCCCTCTGGCTGTGTCCCCCGCTGACAGATAACATTCAATCAGCGCATCTCTGGGGAGGAAGCCACCTGCCCCACTGCCCTCCATCACAGGCCTATCGATTCTTCCGCCACTGAATGCCTTGCACTCTCGCCTGCCCCCTCTCTGTCCATTACATTAATTTCTGCTTTGCCACTCACTCGGTCTCTTTTTGGGTTTAAGCCCTGGCGTCTTCTATTTTGTTCTGTCTTCCTTTCAGTCTCTGATCCTTTGTGCTCTATTCTCATTTTCTCACTTCCACACTCATGCTATACCCTCAGTGGTATTGGCTCAGGATGTGAGGGCCGGTCCTACAGTTGCCTGTGACTCTGCCTCTGTCTCTGTCTCCTGAGAAGACTGGGCCCCTGTCTCAGTAAAGTTTGCGTGAAAGGAGGAGGTGGGCTTGATGTAAATCCTCATGCTGCTGTTGGCCCTCGGTGGTCAGCTGCCTTGCTTCATCAACAACATCCACTTCCTCTTTCAGCGTTGCACACAGATCAAAAAGGCTTTCCTAGTCTTTGTTTTCAGGTTACTTCAAAGCTCCTGACAGGAGACAAGACTGGATGTTTTCCTGTAAGTAAAAGGAGTTTGAATGAGGTTGTTTGCACTTGTGGGCTGTTGTTGGTATCGTAGATGTTAGTAGGGGTTGTTTTCTTCATTTAGACCCTGTTCTTTTGCCTCTGTTGTTTAGCAGGGCCCCTTGTAAGGCGTCTTTTGTAACACTGATTTGTAGGTGAGCTGCTTTATAGCTGTTGCCATAAAATATGTCTTGTGTAACTCTAGATTTGTTTGATTTCTTTGAAGAAGTTCTTGAATAAGTACTGCAGCTTTCCATTTGCTGGCGGGTTCACTGTTATTTTCCGGTTTCTATAAAATTATTGTCCCCACATAGAGCTTTGTCTGGATGCCTCTGAATCACAGCAACCTGTCCCCAGAGGAATTTATTTCTTTAGAAAGAAATCTTTTGTCAAGCACATGTCAGAAACCTGTGCTTCACGCTAGACTGAGAGATCAGTGTAGGGATTTGTACTGGACTGTTGCTGTAGAAAGTTTCCTCATGGGCTGTAACCTCAGATGCCCATGGTCTTGACAGTCACTATGTAATGAATATTACATGCAAAAATGCCAACACTTTCTTTTTCTGACAAGCTCTAATCTGATTGGCTGGCTTTACACAATTTCTGGGAGTCAAGGTACACAAATAAAATAAATGCTGTTGAGAAATAAATAATCACAGGATTTGGGTTTCCAACTAGTGATATCAGATATTTGAAATAATTTTTCAAGGACTTTGTTTGAGGCACTTACAAAATTTTAATATTGACAAGTATAATTTTATATTATGTCGTTTTCAAAGATATGTTTGTGAAATAATTGGTAATGAGGTATGTTGGTGAAAACATACAGGTCTACAACCTGCCATGCACAAATGGACATTGTCTTTTTTTATTATTTAATTAAATACTGTATTAACATGTCATACTTATACAGTACCTTTCAAAATTTTGGGGTAAGATGTTTTTTAATAATGTTACAAAAGATTTCTATTTCAAATAACTGCTGTTCTTTTGAACTTTGTCAAATAATAAAAAAAATGCATCAATGCTTAATAAGAAATGTTTCTTGAGCAGCAAATCAACATATTAGAATGATTTGACATCATGTGGATCATGTGATCATGTGACACTGAGGACTTGAATAATGACAATGTTACAATAGAAAACAGCTATTTTAAATTGTAATAAGTTTGACTGTATTTTCTTGTCAAATAAATGCAGCCTTGATGAGCATAGGAGACTTCTTTCAAAAACATCAACAAAATCTTATTGACACCAAACTTTTGAATGGTAATGTAAATAAATAGCATATTATTAATGTTATAGTATTTTTCAACAAAATGACCTATGGTCAGTTATTTTACATGTCATTAAATGGTCTCTTCCATTCTGTTGTGTATTTCTTGGCTAGAATAATCTGCAAATTGAACCATTACACTGATAATTAAATGTCTGGTTATGTAACACTACAAAGGCCCCTGACCTAGTGATGAAAACAGTTTTAGACAGAATCTCAGTATCATATCCTCTTCCAAATCTAAAAAATGAGTGGAAAGTGGAAGTGGAAAGACCTAAGTGTGTTATGGAGTCATTTCTGTTTTGTAGGATGTATTTAATAATGTCAAGACAAGAAATGTTGAGTTAAATCGTTACGGCAGATCCCTTAGAGACAGTCATGTGGGACCAGGCTTCCTCTTGCAAACCACAGTTGCCACAATGCAAAATCAATTTCTCTCTCCGATCGATAATGGAGGGATCTCAGCACCTTAAAGTCTGTTCCAGTTTTAGAGTGCGTTCTAAGCCTTTGGTCCCTCCAGATTTATCTGTCTTTCCTCTCTCCTCCTTTCTGTTTGTCTCTGTGGGGGGCATCTGAAAGGAGAACAACTCCATGTGGGCTTCTTTGAAGCTCGCTGGCTCCTCCCCAAGTTTCTTTGATGTTCAGCGGAAATGACAGTAGAGGGAGCTGGGCATTTCACGAATGCCAATCGAGTGTCTAATTAACTCGTTGCCTAAAGACACAGTGTGAACATGTGCCCTTGCAGACATGTGTGAGTGCGCTCAAATGTCCTTGTGTTCATACGCGTGGATGAATGCCACCTGCTGATCCGTATTCACTCCCACACACCTGTTGGAATGGTTGTGGCCGATTTAGTTGGAATCGCATCCTTTCGTACGTAACGCTTAGTTCCTCCTGCCAGGCCCCAGGGCTCACAGGCACCATTTCCTCCAGACTGCCATGTTAATTAGGAAGCTCTTCCTGATTTTGCCGTCTCTTACAAGCTGTTTAGATGGCTGTTTGTGGCATTTGTTGTGGTCAAAGCATGGCAAATGAGCTGCGGTGCATATGTCAGCCACGCGCCGCCTCTGTTCTGTGCCGAAGCTTTCTCGCTGTGACAAATTAGACGTAGCTCAAACGCAACGGGCATGGACTCGGCTGCGTTAATGTGCTGAATTGGGCCTGTCTAATTGGGTTTCCAGATAATCCTCTATTATTTGAATCGTCCCTGTTCCTGCAGCATGTAAATCTTATGCAGGGTTTAAATCAGCTGCCAAGTAGTATTGAAGTTTAATTGAATTACTCAAAGGAGCTTGGGGCTTTTGCTTCGAGCTGCACTTCTACACAGTTGGTACGACTCCAGAATCACTCCTCTGTATAGCCTTCTGAATTCTGACCTTGTTTTCCATTTATTCTTCTTGTGATCAACACCTGTAATGGGTGTTTTGCTGAGGGTTAGTATGTAGGCCATTTTTACCTCCACTTGGAGTAGAGCAGTGTTTTTTCAAACTGAGTCTAGAGTGGAAATAAGTGGGTTGCACACTGAGATGTGTGAGATGACTGACTGTGCATTCATGCCAGAAATATGAAAAATAAAAGTTCTCAAATTGAATTAATTTGTGTGGTTGGCATATGAAATGATTTTTAAAATAGTATTTGTTTATTTATTTTTTGAAATATTAAATTCATTTTTTTTAAATGTTACATTTAAATATTTTCTAAATATTACATTTAATTTGAGAACACTGTGAAATTGATAAGTAGGCCCACACAATGTAGAAATTACCATTTAAAAAGATTTTTTTTAATTATTTTTTTTTTATTTAAATTCATTTTTTCATAATATTACATTTAAATACTTCCTAAAAATGATGTAAATAAATGTAATAAGTAGGCCTATCCAATGTAATGAATAAAATGTAAAAAAAAAAAAAATATATATATATATATATATAGTTAATATATAGTAAATATTTTTTTATTTATTTATTTTTTAAACAGTAAATACATTTTCCCTAGATTTTACATTTAAAATATTTTACAAATATTATTATATTAAATAATAAAGTTTAAACTTTTTAAAAATAATATAACTTTTTTTAAATACTATAGTTTAGTTTTAAATCATTTTTCTCATATTTTACTCCAAAACATTTTGGTGGGTCTTGAGGCTATGCCTCACTAGATGGTTCCTTGCGTGTAAACATTCAGGAAACCCTGGAGTCAATAGTCCTACCCTCAGGCTTATTGTGGACCATACTGTGGACGTCCTGGAGCTGAAAAGGTCCATTCAGTGCTGGTTCTCCCAAGGGAAGCTCTTTGACCGTGGGGGGCCTGGGCCTCCAAACGCAGGCCTGCTATTGTCCATCTGGCCTCTGATTGGTTTGAACTACTGTACTTCACAAGCGCAAGACCTAAAGACCTGACAATTTCTCACTAGCACAGCGGTAGGAAGAACATGCAGCCATAAACACAATGCCTTTGTTTTTCAGATCCAGGACTTGGCAATCCGCTGCATCCAGAAAAACATCAAGAAGAACCGGGGTGTGAAAGGCTGGCCGTGGTGGAAGCTCTTCACCACCGTCCGTCCTCTCATCGAGGTTCAGCTTACTGAGGAACAGATCCGCGGCAAAGACGTAAGCACCCATCATCTTCGCTAACCACTTCAAATGCTCTAAATAGGCATGTCATGTGCAGGTTTTGCCCTTTGACAATAGTACAGCTGAATTTAAAGCCCATCTGTGTGGCTTTTAATGCCCCTCTCGGTTTCTCCGCCCCACGGGGGTCTCTCTCAAATTCAGCTGCAGCTCTGTCGCACCCAAAGCGCCCGTCTCTTTGATTACTGTCTCTGCGGCTTCGCCTCAATCCGAGTGTTTGTAGAGTTGTGTGTGTGTCTGTGTGGGGAGAGTGGCAGGGGTGTGTGTATGCATACATTACCTATGTAGCTGGCTGGATCAAAAGCAACTCTGCTTCCCGCGGGGAGTGCATTAGCATGTCACAGAGCGCGATCGTGTGCGCGTGCGTGTGGGTTTCATCCGCTGTGCCGTGTCCCGCTGAGTGCTTGTGTAGCCATGCAGTCAGGCATGCTCCTGCGAGAGACAGATGGGTGCTGACACTGCCTCAAAACAGCCTGCTTTTAAAAAACAAATACAGAGTCACTATCTCCTCTGCACAAACAGCCTTCAGAGCTGTAACCGATTGGCTGTAGCCTGCAGTTCTCTCAAGTTAGCAAAAGAAAAGTTTAGGAAAGTGGGAGGAGGTTTGCGGAAGCAGAGTCGCAGAGACTCTGAACAGGACAGACTTTCTACCTGTCTGTCATTCTGTTACCGTTTCTAATTGATCTCACCTGTCTATTTCTATACTTTGCTAAATATAGTGGATGTCATAGCGTCTCAATGTCTGACTGTCTGTGGTCATTTCTCTACATATCAGCAGAATATCTTGTCATCCTGTCTTTCTGACTGTCTTATTGTGTTCCTCTGATTGTCTGTCTTTAGGAGGAAATTCAGCAACTCAAGTTGAAGCTGGAAAAAGTGGAGAAGGAGAGGAATGAGTTGAGACTCAATAGTGACCGACTGGAAAGCAAGGTTAGTGCTGAAATTCAATTCACTTCAAATTAAATTTAGATTGACTTCAAATTCAGTTCAGATTCAATTCAAATTAAATTTAAAGAAACTCAATTGTTTAAACATGTTTATCACATACCACATACCAAAATTTCAGTTAGCAAAAGTGAAAATGAGGTGAAGTGAAGCCAAGTATGGTGTCCCATACTCAGAATTTTTGCTCTGCATTTAACCCATCCAAGTGCACACACACTGCAGTGAGTAGTGAACACACACACACACACCGTGAACATGCAATACTAATGCCAATGGAATTAAGGAACCAAGTAATTCATTTTATTTAAAAAGTTACATATTAATATAAATATCAACAAATTAAATCAGTTACATTAAATACATAATTCAGGTTAACAGCAAAAATGAAAGGAGCTATACTAATTAACATAACTCTTTTTATTTAAAAAGTTACATATTAATATAAATATTAATAAATAAAACAATGCCATGAAATTAATTATTCAAGAAAACATTAGTAAAGTATTATTATTATACAATAATATTTAATATTTGAATAATATAATTTATTATTTACAATAATTTATATAGTATTGATATATATTAATAATATTTAATATAATTAAATAGTATACATTTAATATACTGTATATACTTCAGCTAATATATATATTTTTTTACACAATTTTTACACAAAGGAAATTTTACTTATTTTTTGTAAAAAAATAAATAAATCTGTATACATCTAAAAACAAATGAACTACGAAAAACAAATCAATTAAAAGGTAGTATTCAAATAAACATTCAGCAATAGCAAAAAAACAAAACAAAACAATGACGGGCACCATCTTCAAGTGCTTGATTATTAGATACAGTGCAATACATTAATACTTATAAAAGCTGCCAAAGGTTTTCAGCTACGAGATTTTTTCTTCTGAATATTGTTGTTTAATTACTACAAGCAACATAATAAACAGAGATAGGTCTTAAAGAATAAAATGACACTTCAAGTATAATACATCCATACATTTATATGTCCAAGATAAGGCATCCATAAGAGTGAAAACTATCAGAGCCCTCCTGAATCATTTAGGCAGAATTGAAGGGTTATCTGGGAGGATTTCCATGAGTGTGGCGGCCCATGACTCTCTGGTGAGGAGGACAGCTTCAGGTGTGCTGAGCATTTCAGCGTGGCGCCTCCAGACAAATGAGAAAATAATCTGTAGCATCAGGGCTGCTGCTCCTCATTAAGCTGTTTATATGGAAATGCCTGGGGGCACTGAAAACACCAAACATCCGCGTTCTCTCTCTCTCTCTCTCTCTCTCTGTCTCCCTGTCTCTCTCACTCTTTTTCATTCCTTTATACTTGTGTTTCTGGAATTTTTGTGAAGAGGGAAAATTTGGTCTAATTTTTAAGTAAGTTTAAGAGACAAAAATCCATGTATTTTGCTTTGAGAGCTGTTAGATATTTAAACTTGATCTACCTAGCATGAAAAGTAACTTTTAAACACATCAGATCAATTTTTTTGGGCCCACCTCAGAGATTATTACCTTGTTGACTGTATCTAACAATTTAATTAATTTATCATCAAACTACTGCTAAATATAAAGTTACTTTGTCGCACATTTTGAATGCAACCCTGTTTATGTAAATTTTGTGAATTTTTGTATTGCCCAATAGATAACTAGACCCTTTCTACATCATGATGTGAAGACAAGTAAATTATTTTATTACATTTTGTCAATTTTTACAAATATTACAGTGTTGACTGCATTCATTAAGCTCAACCATTCGATCCCTTTACCAGTTATTTTATTTTAATGAATATTTTTCTTAAATTATAGTAAATACTACAAACCAACATTTAGCACCAAACTAGCAAGCATCTGATTAGTGATATCTTAAATTTGCAACCCTGTTACCGATTCCGGCTCATTTATTTAAATAAATGAATCAGTCAGTTTGTTTTGCTAATAGAAAATATCAGTCACATGAATCAGGGTTTTAAAATTTATTTATTTTCAAATGGATTTCTTTGGAAAAAGGGTTGAACCAATTACAAATGTCATATTAAAGAAAAGAAAGAAAATATAATAATCTGTCTCTGTTTAGTTTTCAGTTTACCTTGATCCTCTGAGGCTAATAATCAGTATTTTCTGAAGGTTAAGGACTTCCTTTCACTATAAACTTGATGAAAAGGGAAATAATTACTTTAGGCTATATTTTACACCCTATTCCTGGAAAGTTACCTCTGATTTTCTCAAGGTCTCTTTTTCTCCCCCCAACATACACACACACTTACTTTTACTTACTTACTTTCTCTGTTTCCTTTCTATTTCTTCTCCTATTGGTGGGCAGCGTGTTCTCCGTGAAAGCCTGACCGTGATCATACTCAGTAGTGCTCTTCTTAGAATAACTGCTATCATGAACGGAGCTCATTTTAATGCATGCGTCAGACTGGTGACTGCTTGTTCTCACCTCTGTGTCACACAGCTTATCTCTAAGGCTTAATGCTAATCCACGAACATTTGATTTATTCCACTTTCCAGCAATTACGTTCTGTAATGGTGACGTGGATTGGCATGCCATCGCTAAAGCCACCGCTCATATCTACGTTTCAGAGCATTTCAATTTCCTGCTTCGATTTATTGTGTGTATTTGCAGTTTTTCCCAGTTTGATAGATAGCTGTCAAATTCGCTGAATGGGATTTTGTGTGAGCCATAATCATAAGGATTGTAGTGAAATTTCCTTGGCAGAGGTCCATACTTTAAACCTCGGCTCTCTTCAGGGAATGACCGTAGACAATGTGGCCCACAGTGTTTCATCTCGAAAATCATATTGCAATTTTGATGCCAAATAATGCGATGTAACTGCTTTATGATAGATATCAGACATCTCAAATTGCACCACGAACTTCAAGTGCACTGAACCTGTTGAGGACTTGGACTATATGCAGCAGACAAAACAGAGTGCCGCCACTTGACTTTGAAGCACTGACATTTATTTAATTAAATAACAGCCTTTGCATTTGAGTAAACACACAAGGCCATTTTGCAATGATTGTGTTTTCAGGAGGAGAATGGAGGCTCAAGTATGAGAGAGCCATCAGAGAGATTGAGTTTACCAAGAAGAGACTCCAGCAAGAGTTTGATGACAAACTGGAGGTGGAGCAGCAAAACAAGAGGCAGCTGGAGAGAAAGGTAAGGACGTCTTAGACACACAAATAACACTGTTACACACTAAAACGCTAACAGCTCTGGTCATTTTGCCAGCACCTACAAGGAATGTCTAGGAATGAATAATATTGGTTACATATCTATTATCATATATTATTTATTTATTTATGTTTTTTTTCTGGAAATCAGTATTGTCTTTAATTTTAATAATAGTGCGTTTCTACTGACTTTATTCCACCAAACTAACCCACGCATCATAAAGACTCAAACTTCACTCGTATTGTCATTGTGGTCCAACACAACAGCATGTACTGTCTCAAACTTGAATGTATTAGCTGAAACTCATACATCTAGACAAGACACACACTGGATGGAAATATCCACCTGTACAGACTCACTGAGGATCTGTGTGTTTAGCTGACAGACCTGCAGGCAGACAATGAAGAGGTGCAGCGCGTGTCGCAGCAGCTGAAGAAGAAATGCCAGAGACTGACAGCCGAGCTGCAGGATACCAAACTGCACCTGGAGGGGCAGCAGAGCCGCAACCATGACCTGGAGAAGAAACAGCGCAAGTGAGTCAGACCAGATAAAGATTTACTAAGGAAATGGATTGTTACACCTCTTACGGAGCACTTCATGGCGCAGCAAGATATTTGGTGCTCGTATGTCTCTTTTCTGTACCCAAAGTGACATCTCATTGGCCCAAAATCCTGTTCTTTATAACTGTATGCTATAGTGCTGGGTATCAATACAGATCTGCTGTATTTCCATTCTGATTCACAGATTCACAGAACAGAACAGTTTTTCATACCGATTTAAACCATTAACTTAATCCCTTTATTAAAAGAACACTCTGATAAGAGTTATTTGTATGTGAATCAGTTCTCATAGAATTAGAACGATTATAAAATCTTTATAGTTATAATTTTCATCCTTGTTGTGAATAAGCCTTAAGAGCAGCCCACCAGGGCCTCAGTAACAAGCATCTGAAAATTAAATCTGTAAGACTATCATTACTCAGAGGAGAAGGCCGTAAGCAGAGTGACGTGGTTAATGTGTAAAGGTGCTGCAGCTAAGCCTCTTTAGACTCTTGAGTAAACAGGCGGAGGCTGTGCCTGTCACTGCGGAGGGGATGTGAGAAAGTCCACTCTAAATATAATGATCGGCCTGAGGCTCAGTGTGACGGCAGATTTAGCCAGTAGGAGAGATGGGGGGAGGGCAAGGAGAGCGGTCCTTCATCTCTCTGTGGGGCTCGGATTAACACGAAGAGTTGCATAAGGCTCATTTACGAGATCATAACAGGGCCTTGGAGAGAAGGGGGTGGAGAACGAGAGAGAGAAATAGGAAAAAAGGAAAAGAACGAATTGATTTGCCCCAAAGCGTCACGACTCCCCCCTCCTCGCTCATTGTTGCCCACTTACAAGTTAACCCAATCAGAACACTTTTCCCTAATGCCCCTCCTGACACACACGTCACACACAATACTGTAAAGCTTAGATGAGTTTTAGATTCTCAACACTCTGCTATGCTTGGCTATTTTAGGAAAAGCAGGTATGTTATTTTTTGTTCTTGTTGTTTTGTATCATGCTATTTGTTTTTGGTAAAACTTTTTGATCATATTTTAAGGTCCAATTCTCGCATTAACTACGACTTTTGCCTCAAGAAACTCCTAATTTTCTGCTTATTAATAGTTAGTAAGGTAGTTGTTAAGTTTAGGATTAGGTATTTAGAATGTGGTCATGCAGAATATGTGCTTTATATGTACTAATAAACAGCCAATATTTTAATAATATGCATGTTATTAAGCATCTAGTTAATAGTGAGCATTGGTCCCTATACTAAAGTGTTACTAAATGTTTTTTTTATATATATTTCAGATACATTAAACTTGTGCTTTGATTAGTGATTGAAGAATTAGAAATTTGCTTTAGTTATTGTATATATTATGACTAGTGGTCAACTAATATAGGTTTTTCAATGACAAATATTGATATCTAAAGAGCAGGGAAGCAGATGGTAGTCATCATAATATACACATAATACAATTTAATGACAGCAAATTGTATGAAATGAATTATGTTTACTGGCGGAAATAGATAAACGATACCGTCGTGGACAAAAACTGTCATACTTAACAAAACTTTCTAAAATAACATTTAAAAAAATTTTTCAATTAAATTTCATTTCAAAGTGGGGTTTTATCTCTTTGTTAAATAATATTTGCTTCATTCCCTGAAAAAAAAGAAAGAAATTAATACAGTTAAAACAAATTATCCATTGATATTGTCTCAAAAATGTGTAATTGTCAGCTTGGCTGATTATAAAGGGATAGTTCACCCAAAAATTTAAATTCTAAAACTGTGTGACTTACTTTCTTCGGTGAAACATTAAAGAAGGAATTTTGAATAATATCTTGGTGTGTTTTGACCGTAGAGTGGAAATAAGTGGTAACCGAAACTGTTTACTTACCAATGTTTTCTCAAAAATCTTCATTTTGTTCCACAGAAGAAAGTATGTCATTCAGGTTTGAAATTACATGAGTAAGTAAAGGATGACAAGTTTATTTTTTGGGGTGAACGTCAATTTAACTTCCCAGTGACTTTTATTTTAATTAATTTTTATATATTTAGGCTAGTATTATTATGAAGCGCTATCATGGTTGATGTTTAGTGCTTGTGGAATGATTTGTGATGCTCTCAGAAGATCAGGTGCACGATGACAGCTCGTTCCACCACAGGAACAGAGAGAGCAAAGCCTCTGGAAAGCGTCTTTTTGAGATTAAGCTTGTTGATGGTGTGTTTTTTTGTGTGCATACGATGTCTGCAGGTTTGACTCGGAGCAGACTCAGGCTCAGGAGGAGGTGCAGAGAGAGAAGAGTCTGCGAGAGAAACTGAGCAGAGAGAAAGACATGCTGACCGGGGAAGTGTTCAGCCTTAGACAACAACTGGAGGTCAGCAACCTCTCTTATATCATCCTCCTTTGTTGAAACTCACTCACAGAACTTTCCCGGCTGTGACGTACACGTGTCTGTGTGTGCTGAGTCCAGACCGAGTTGTGCTAAATGAGTTTTTCTCTGCTCTCTCAGGATAAGGATCTGGAGATATGTGCTGTCAATCTAAAGCTCGAGCAAATGGAGGCTGAGCTTCAAGATCTCAACTCACAGGAGTCAAAGGACGAGGCGTCATTGGCCAAGGTTAAAAAGCAGCTTCGTGACCTTGAGGCAAAGGTCAAAGATCAAGAAGAAGAACTTGATGAGCAGGCTGGAACCATTCAGATGCTGGAGCAGGTAATCAAACAAACACACACAATCACATTTTATTAATTAACTTTATTAATTTTCATTAACTTTTGCAACAATTTTGTCTCCAAAGTTTGTCTAAGTTAACCTAAGCACAAACACACCACACTCCGACCAGCCGTACAGAACACTCGTGACATCATGTCATAAGAATAAGGATATATACATTGTATCGAGCTGCCTGATGTTTAATGTATTTTTCTTCGAATGATGCACATTCTCCACGCATGCAATTTTCATCTGCCATGCGTAATATGCTAATTAATGTAAATTCAGCTGATGTGTCAGTATGAAGAAACTGTCCGTACTCACAGTCTGCATACATTATAATAATAATTACAAAGCGTTTTATTGGCCTGTGCGACAGGGATATTTTGTATGCATCTTTATGCACGTAGCTCCTGTTCCAGTGGATTCCAATGCATGCATGCTTTTAGAAGGTGTGGATTTGCATTCACTGAGCTATTGATGTTGTGACCTGCAGGCCAAGCTTCGTCTGGAGATGGAGATGGAGAGACTGAGACAGACGCATTCGAAAGAGATTGAGAGCAAAGACGACGAGGTGGAGGAGATCAGACAGTCCTGCAGCAAGAAGGTATGTTACAGTCAACTAGCTGTTATACAACAATAACTGCTAATAATTATTACAACCTTTGGCAAGTTAGCTTCATTGTATGAAATATTCATAATGTCATACATATATATAAAACGAAGACTGAAATTATTAATAGAAAAAAATATATACAAATATACTGTGTGTATATATATATATATATATATATATATATATATATATATATATATATATATATATATATATATATATATATATATATATGTGTATGGTGACATCAGTGGTTCACCAGTAAATGTCCGAAATTTTGCATGCCCTGTACTGCACTGTAAAATAATGCGTTACTGGATTAACCAAAACCTTATTATTGTTATTATTTTATTTTAATAACAAGTTTTGTCAAGATGAAGAATCAAAGGTTGCTCTGAATTGATTCTGATCGCTGCAAAAATAAGTCGATACCTTGGAAAAACATCTTTTGTTATGTCAAAATTATGATTACAAAAAAATGTAATAATAGCCCTTTAGAGCTCCCATACACATGTTCAAGTCACCAGCTAACACCACTTAAACATGCTCAGAATACTTTACAACTGGTTTCAGAAGTTCAGGTGAGTTCAGTTTATAACATTTTAATTGCTGATGTTCAGTTCTTATGCAGAGCTCGTTTCAACTCCTGTACAACATAAATAAACAAGACGTATTCGGCCATGTATTGAATAAGAATGTCCATTCAGCATTGTTCAGCGCAGCTCTTGTTGCAGATAGCGCCTTTCACATTTGTGGAGTGTCTTTGCCGCGGAGGTGCAGATAAGCTGAACTCATTGAGTTTTGTTTTGATGTATAATTCATGGGGCTTCTATTTTATTTTTCTCACGTATAGTTCACCTTTCCCTCCTCTTCACTTAACCAATCAAGCTGCCAGTACAGTGCATCCCATAATTACCCTTCTTTCTCACAACCGAGTCCCTTGATTGACACTTGAAGGTGCTCAGAAGCATCTAAAGACACTTTTAGGGAATGTGTTTATATGTCTGGATTGACTCTTCAGGGCAAACCTTCTTCACAAAATCCTCCATGATGTTCTGTTACTATGCTTGTGTGTGAGCAGCTCAAGCAAATGGAGGTGCAGCTGGAGGAGGAGTATGAAGAGAAGCAGAAGGTCTTGCGTGAGAGGAGAGACCTGGAAGCCAAGCTGATGAGCACTCAAGACCAGGTACTTTTCTTACTTACTATAATATACACTATATTTACAGTACTATATCAAGGTTTGAAATATGGTTTAGAATATGGTAGTTAAGAAATATTGCATGACACTTAAGTGAATTTTCTAATTTAATTTTTTTATTTTAATTTTTTTTTTTTGACACTTTGTTTACAGACCTGAAATTAAATGATTTGTAGCTTTTAGTTATGTATGTGTGTACTCCTTTTAGCCATTCAAAAGTTTGTGGTCAGTGTGTTTTTTTTTTTTTTTTAGTAAATACTTTTATTCAACAAGGGTGCATTAAATTGATCAAAAGTGACAGAAATCTTTTATAACATTATAAATGTCTTTACTATTTCAGAAAAATACTTAATTATTTAAAACTTTATATTTATAAGAATAGAAATAATCCAATTAAACATGTATATTAGATGATTAGATGATCTGTGAAGGTTCATGTGACACTGAAAACTGGAGTAACGGGTGCTGAAAATTCAGCTTTGCCCTCACAGGAATAAATTACATTTTAAAAATTGTAATAATATTTTTAATTTTTCCTGTTTTTACTGTATTTTTTAATAAATAAATGCAGCCCTGGTGAGCATAAGAGTCTTCTTTCAAAACCATTAAAAAAAATCTTACAAACCCCAGTTTTTTAAACAGTGCTGTATATACATTTAAAGTGTAACATCTTTCTGTAAATCACAGACCAAAAATGCTAATGACTCATTTCACACTTTTTGGGGGTAAATCCAAATCATCCCTGAACTTCTGGTTTAGCACTAGTTGAGCAAATCATGTAAATAAAGGTCTTTGCTTGAGTGTGTACAAGATTTAAAGAGTATATTTATATATAACCGGTATGTAAAATGTCTTTGGTGTTTTCAGGTGAGCCACAGAGATGTGGAGACAGAAAAGCGTCTGAGAAAAGACCTTAAGCGCACAAAGGCCTTGCTGGCTGATGCCCAGATCATGCTGGATCACCTGAAGAACAACGCTCCCAGCAAGAGAGAGATCGCTCAGCTCAAGAACCAGGTTTGTTTCTCAGCTCTCCTGGGCTCTGTAGTTAACACATCATATATGACATCCGGTCAGAAACGTACATTTTACTTATGTGTGTGTGCTCTTCACAGCTCGAGGAGTCAGAGTTCACTTGTGCTGCTGCAGTCAAAGCCCGAAAGTCAATGGAAGTGGAGATCGAGGACCTCCATGTCCAAATGGATGACATATCTAAATCCAAGCAGGCGGTAAGTCTGTCGGTCTTTGAAAAAGAACAAAAGTGAATTGTTTTTACTTCTTTTACGTTAGAGGCAGAGCAAGATCATCTCACACACACAGACAAAGTACACCACCTGTCTTCATCAACCATAGGTGGGAGCCAGGATGTCATTTAAATTACTTACCGCGGGGAAATGATTTCCGCCCATAATAGCACATTTCCAATGTCGTCTCTAATTTGAACAGGATGTATCAGTGTGAAACACATTACACTTGAATAATTCTGTCGTTGATTCAGTATTATTTCAGCGTGGAGAATTGTGTAATTGTGTCCTCACTGTAGCGTATTATGACGTGATATCAGGAGAGACGGATGCAGCCAAATTCTGCAGATGCTGTTCCCCTGACGCTGTCTCCATATTGTTTTCTTTTTCTTTTTTTTTGTCTCGTCGCCGCCTGTCATATTTGCTCAGCTCTCTGGAGCAAGAGACACTCTGACAGAAGGGTGCAGTGAACATTTTAATTTCTATAAAGTCGCATCCGCAGCCACGCTCAAGCATTGTTTTGGTGCAGAGTCATTGTTGTGGGTTTTGCTAAACCGGTCTCTTTTCTAAATATTGTCGCATTGATTAGCAAGGCTGTGATAAATGGTCTGGTCATGATCACTGTCTGATTAGCTTCAGGTTTGTCTGTCACCCCTTCCCCCAAGGGAGCTCATGGATTTCCACTAGAGGATTTGAAGGTGAAGCATAGGTTTGATACAATACACCTGCCAGACAGAGTTTAAAGGTGTGAAATGGAACTGTACAGAAAATAGGCAGTATCGAGTATAAAGCCGCTTCTGGTGATTAATAGTAAATCTCCAGCACGTGCTTTCAGATGGAGCGGCTTTTACTACACAGAGCCATAGTTCACTGACAAGCTACACAGTCACATTCAAAATCGCAGGCGATTCATCGGAGATCGACTCGATTTGAGGAAGGGGTAAAAATTTTAGTAGATTAAAAAAACAACAACACTGGTTGGATTTTTATCAATTTATGGGGTGGTTGTGTACACACACTGCCAACACGCATTTTAGTTCAAACAACTTGTAAAAGTGCATGGAGCATCGGATGACCCCTTTAAAGAAACAGTAGGAGTCTGTTTTGGATCAGAGATGGTGAAAATGGTGACATTTTGGTGCATATCAGGGAAACAAGTAAACTGCTAAAAAAAAATTGTGTAGAATATAACCCCTTTCAATTCAATTAGTTTGTATTGATTTGTGAAAGAGAGGGAATGAGTGAAAGAAAACGCAAGCTGCCTTCACAAGGATGTTTTTACAAAACAATGTAATGTCCTGCTTTTATGCTCACTAATTCATAAGTAATGTGCAATGTGTCTACACTTTTTGCTTTTACTAATAGATTTGAAAGTTACTCCTCAGAGATTAGTTGGCTGTATTGTTGAGGTAATTATTATTGAATGGAATTAGACCTCAGATACTGTCTGACAGAGCAGGCAGTGAAGTGTTCATCTCTAATTGGCAGAAGGTGCTGTGTTCTCAGGGATTTATACAATGCAAGCACCTACTGTTTAGTGACGGGGTGACTGGAAAATTATCTCTTTAAGGAATTAAAAGGAGCTGGGCTTTCAGTTTGAAAATATAAATGAGAGCTGAAGTCAGAGTGGTTAGCTGCGTGTGTTCCTGACCTGCAGAGGTTTGAGTCTGACTGTGTTAAGTCCATTGTCTATTTGCTGCTGTCTGTATCAAAAGTTCCTGATGCATAAATTCAAGATCTGTCCTACATATTTTTTTAAACCAATTATCCCCGGAAGTGTGTTGTAATATGACAGTAAAATGGGTTGTGAATGCCATGTCAACTAGAACTTGTAATTTAACATGCCAGAATGCTGAGCATCTCCGTCAGAGTGGTTGTTTTCCATTACTCAGACATTTTTTATTTTCAATTTACAGTCATATTTGTGTTTGTCTTATGCTTTTGTTTGATTTTCATGCAGCTTGAAGAGCAGCTGAGCCGTTTGCAGAGGGAGAAGAATGACCTGCAGTCTCGCATGGAGGAGGATCAGGAGGACATGAACGAACTCATGAAGAAACACAAAGCCGCCGTTGCCCAGGTAAATCTCTCCGGCACTCATGCCTGTCAGATCGCTATACAGGGCCTCTCTGTCATCATCGCACACAGAGTAGATGTGTATGTGCATTTATGTTTTGTTTTTTTTGTATCATAAAAGTTCAATATGAGCAAAATGTTATTGAATAAATTATACAGTATTTTTAAAATAACATTCACATTTATAACATATCAAAATTATTATGTATAACTTCTTAAAATAACAGATTTATTGATATTGAATATCCATGATATATAATAATAATATAATAATATATATCATTATAATTCTGATTTATTTTGAATCTGTGGATTATATATATAATTATATTTTGAGGCATGTTTCACAAAGCAGTGTGTGCTTATTGTGGAACCCATATTTAACAGGTTACAGCAAGCAAAGTGTTATTGCATAGCAAGAGCGGTGTGAAACAGGCCTTAAAAGCATTTTTATTCACAGTTGTGTTGTCCTTTTTGATTATATATATATTTTTACCACTGCGCATATTGCATGCTACATGATTTCAGCATATTTTACATTTTCCAGTATGATTCATAGCTGTTTCTCGGCAACATGCTTCCATCATGCAAATCAAATCGACAACATCATTTAGTGTGTGCAGATGGAGCACTTTGTATTTCTCTCTGATTGGTTGCTCATGCCAGTGCGAAGGCGTCACTGCAGCAATTGTCGTGTATTTGAGCTCGTGGGTTAATTGTCATTAAGAGTGTTTTAAACACAGCATGCTGCTATGGCAGCGATGTGTAGAGATGAGTGATGTATCTCCACAGACCCTAAGTAAACAGATCCTCTCCAATGGAACAGCCCTATTCCCCTTGGCTTACTTCACCAGCTCTATGGTTCATTTATGGGAACACTGCACAGGTTTTGAAACAGTCACAATCGTACTTGAGGCATTCAGACAGTCTCGTAGTTAAATCTCTCTCCAATCCATTTAATTTATGCTTCTGTTAACATGCCATTTATTGCTGCCAAATTTATGGGAGATGTCATTACAGACCATAAGATTGCTTGTCTGTCAGTAGCTAAATGGTTTGCAATGTACTGTAAGATATATCACCAAAATAACATGATCATAGTGCATATTGCCCACTTCATTTGTATGTTCTCTACATGCTGTTTTTTAATGTTATAATAGACCGCATGCATGAGTAAAATGAAGAAAATGAAGTCCACCTTTATAAACGGTGCAAAATTCACCATAATAACTGCTCTATTTCAGTAATTTGAATATTTCATACATACAGAAAATGTGCACACTTAAAGATAACATGTATATAGCATAACCAATTACTTTCAGATCTCTTCAAGTGGATAAATATTAAGGAATTGTAGGTTCAGGTTGTCCTGTGATGTGTAGAAGACTCTGATCCCTCTGTGGTGTGTTCTTGTGCAGTCCACACAGAATCTGGCCCAGATCAGTGACCTGCAGGCCCAGCTGGAGGAGGCCATGAAGGAGAAACAGGACGTCCAGGAGAAGGTGAATTCACATTGGCATCCTTACAGAAATGCATATTCACAAAGTCAACACTGTTACTTGCATTCTCAGAGTACATCCTAAGTGGACTGAATTAGAATTCAGCTACTGTTTTGTTTTATTTCTGTCTAAGGTTAGCTAAGGTCATTTGACTCTTTAATGATAGGATTAAACTCTGCCCCTTTTAACCACTGACTCTTTAATGATAGCACCGGACTCCACTTCCTCAGGTTTTGAATCTTTAATTACATGATCAAACTCCGCCCCCTCAGCATTTTACTTTTTAATGTAGAATCAGGATTTGTCCTTTTCAGCATTTGATTCTTTTTAATGATAGGATCAGTTTCCACCCCTTTCAGCATTTGTCTTTTTAATGATAGGATCAGACTCCAACACTCTCAACCAATTAGGTGTGTTTGACTTGAAGCAGCACTGCGCAGACAGATTGATATATGAAATCAAAATACAGCGAGAGCAAAAACAGCTCCATATGTGTTCGAATCATTCTCACGGTGCTTTGATGTCATACACTGATCGGTCTGTGCAGCACCGCATCAAGTCAAACACGTGTTGATTCTTTAATGGTAGAAGGCTCCACCCCCTCACTATTTGAATCTTTAATTTTTAAAAACTCATCTGTTTAGCTGTGCATTTATTGAATGAGCACTGTGCGATGTCCGAACTGATTGCACTGTATTTTATGTATAATCGTTTTCTTAAATTCATTTTAAACCTCTTAAATAATTTTTTTTTAAATAACTTTCAAAGTTTTTAAATTCCTTGTTTTATTGTTGTGATTATTGTTTTTCTTTTCTTTTATGTAAAGCACTTTGAATTACCATTGTGTATGAAATGTGCTATACAAATAAACGTGCCTTGCCTTGCCTTGCCTAATGATATGAACAGACTCCGCCCCCTCATAATTTGACTTCAATTATAGGGACAGACTCCGCCCCCTCACCATTTGACTTTTCAATTATAGGGACAGACTCCGCCCCCTCACCATTTGACTCTTCAATGATAGGGACAGACTCCGCCCCCTCACCATTTGACTCTTCGGTGATATGGATCGACTCCGCCCCTTCACCATTTGACTTTTCAATGATAGGGACAGTCTCCGCCCTCTCACCATTTGACTCTTCAATGATCGGGACAGTCTCCGCCCCCTCACCATTTGACTCTTCAATGATAGGGACAGACTCCGCCCTCTCACCATTTGACTCTTCAATTATAGAATCCATCTTCTCCTCTCAGCATCAGACTCTGCTCTCTCCTTGCCAATTTATTGTCCCATACTGTAGGGAACAGTTGGTTTCCCCCTCACAAAACTCAAAGTTGAGTAATTTGCTCAACAACTCTATCTGGCCACAAGTGTATTCAGCAAAAAAATGTAATTCTTGGCACAGAATATTTTTACTCTTTGAAATGACTTGCTATATGCCGACATGGCACAGTAATGGGGTTTGAATAACGCATTTGATACCTGTGTAATCGAGCAAGTATCAGAACCTTAATTCTGGTCTGAACTGTCTTTGACTTATCCCTCAATGTAAAGCAGCAGAGCTGGTTTAAAGGCTGATAAACCAGGTAGGCCTCTCTAAAGACACCCCGTGGTGGTGAGGTCTTTGTCTCTTTGAGTCTCTAATAGTCATACTCAGTATTTCCATGACATACAGATTGCTGTCCTTTCTTAGTGTATTTGTGTGAATTCTCACTATGTATGTGTGTGTTTGGCAGCTCACAGCCCTGCAGAGTCAGCTAGAGTTCCAAGAGCAGTCCATGGTGGACAAGTCTCTGGTCAGCCGGCAGGAGGCCAAGATCCGTGAGCTGGAGACCAAGATGGAGTTTGAGAAGACACAGGTCAAACGCTTGGAGGTGAGTTGGCCCGATGCATGTGCTTATGTGGGCTGAGCAGGGGGCTGCTGGAAGTGTCAAAAGGTCAGTGCGCAGTCATTGAAGTGTCAGATAAGGGAGAAATTAATCTACACACTCACCAAGCCTTCCCCATTGGCCCACTGCTTTATAGACCTTTAACCCTTGTACTAAAAGTGTCTTAAAATACAAAATGTGGATTATTTCCATCCCCCCTCTGTGTTTTTCAAATCAACAGTGTCAGTCCCCTTTTAGAGAGGAAATGCACATTTCATTTCATGTCTGATATTTTATGTTGCTGGAGGCAGCGTGTCATCTGTTTTTGCATTGCAACTAGTGTAATTAATGTGTTTCCACTGATGCACATTATTTCAGCGTTTTGTTTTGTTTGATTTAATGGGTTTTTTGCTCCTTAAGTGACATTTTCCAACAGCCAGTCCTCTTCATCGTTCATCTCTGTTGGGTGCTCCTGCTCACCTGCAGAATTACAATTGGCACTCTGTACAAATTACAAACGTCTACTGCGCCCACAGCAAAATCTGTCAACAGAAGCGATTTAAAAGCGCTGTTATTACTGATTTGTTGGACGTATAGCTCAGTTCAGGCTTGGGCAGTGTTATCTCTAAAGGCAGTTTGTTTAAACCATGCCCATCCGAAGCTGTAAAGAATGTCTGTTTTCCTAATCTGCAGATATTTCTGTGTTTCGATGCCAGCACAGCCCACCTTTGGTGTGAAAAATCACAGAAAAGTTGCTTTGGAAGTTATTTGGAGTTTCATACCATATGGATAGCTTGACAATCTTGCATATTTCAGTGCTAGACTTGCAGTGGGTCCAGAAACACTTAAGCGATGGTGCACGTTATGCTGCATATGTGTTAAATAAGTGATTGTGTCTTCTTCAGAGTCTTGTAGCGAGGCTGAAAGAGAATCTCGAGAAGTTGACTGAGGAACGAGACCAACGCAGTGCCAGCGAGAACCGGGAGAAAGAGCAGAACAAGCGTCTCCTGAGGCAGATCCGAGACATCAAGGAGGAGATGGCCGAGCTGGCCAAGAAGGAAGCGGAAGCCAGCCGCAAGAAACACGAGCTGGTGAGAAGCCTGTTCTGCTTCACTGACGTTCTCATTCTGAAGTGTCTTGAAGGCATAGTGCACCCAAAAATTTAAGTTCTGTCATCATTTACTTACCCTCATGTCATTCCAAACCGGTTTGACTTCTTTCTTCTGCAGAGCATAAAAAAATATATTTTGAGGAATGTTAGGAACATTAAAGCCTGTTGAATTCCATTGTATGGTAAAAAAACACTGAGACTTTTCTCTGAGTATGTTCTTTTATATTCCATGAAGAAAGGCATACGGGTTTGGAATTACATGAGGGGAATAAATGAGTGAATTATCCCCAAGCATGTGATGAAAGCAGAAATGTTACATACACCGAATATGGACCCTCTAGTTATCAAGTTTGATCAAACCTCTTAATTCCAGACAGATCATAAAATTATAGCATACAGTGACATCCTAAAAAAATGGTGTGCAACATTTTGGTAAAAGTTTGAAGAGAGCTCTTCTTTCTTCCAGCATGATATGAGGTCAATAAAGAAATGATTTACTAAGTCTGGTGGTGAGAAAGAAATCGATTGGCCTTCATTAAGTCCAGACCTGAACCCCTTTGGGATGAATAGGAACAGTGAGACATTAGTGCCTAACCTCACAGATCAACTTTTTTGCCAATGGCCACAATGGCTGTTGAATCCAGAATTTTATTTAATCAATTCAGATATAGAAAATAATGGAACAAATGCACAAATTATTACATTTTGAGAGACGTGTTCTGTTTTTTTCACAACTGAATTTATTATCTGAACTAAATCTTTAAAGAAGAGTCAGTTACTAATATACTGTATATACAAATTTTCAGGTTTTGGCCAATAACCAATAAATGGCTAATCCAAATTATAATTTCTATTACATTTTGTCTAAAACATAAAACAATAGAAACATTGTTTCAAATAATATAAAGTTAAATGTTTTAATATTTCTATTTAGTTTTAGTTTTATTTCAGTGTTAGTATTAGTAATTTTATTTATTAAACTTATTTTACTTCATTTAGTTTCATTTCAAATTTTTGAGCTTTGCATTTTTTATCTAATATTTATGTAATATTTATTTAATATTTTTCAGCTTTTTGGTATTTGAAATTTTCATTAACAGTAACAACACTCATGTACAGTGAGAAAAATAATATAATATTCATTTTAAGATTCGTAAAATATTACATTTAAAAGCATTCTTAAATTATTACTGTTTTTCAGTATTACCTATAAGTGAATGTTACATGACCGTAGCAAAGGTAATCTAAATGCAAAAACACGTGCCTCCTTAGTTAGACTGAAGTGTATCCCTGTCTCTTTAGGAAATGGATATTGAGAGTTTGGAAGCAGCCAACCAGAGTCTCCAGGCAGATCTCAAGCTGGCCTTCAAGAGGATCGGAGACCTCCAGGCTGCTATTGAGGATGAGATGGAGAGTGATGACAATGAGGATCTCATCAACAGGTAACACTTGCTACTTTGAGGACTCTTTATTTAATGTATACCTTAAGAGAGCTTCTCCGTGTGTTTTAAGTGGGTAAAAGAAGAGAGAGAAGACCGTATCTGGATGAATGCACTATTCACTGAGCTTTTGGAGATGGCAATCAGCGAGCTAGTCTCAGTCTCAGTCATCTCTTATTCACACTCTCTTAAATATTTATGCATTGAAAACTGCCGCACATAATTTGGAGCTCCTTTTTTATGTACATGGCCTCATCAATCAGAGGAAGTAATCTCCGTTCAGCCTCATTCCGTGCCGCTCTGCTTCTCTCAGTGACCTGCACCTTACTGCGCAGAGCTGAGTTTATTTGCTCGTTTATGTCCGTAGAAGAATTCCAGTTATCCAAATAACAGTAAATAGTGCCCCCCCTTGCACTTCGTAAGGGTTACGCAGAGCAAAAGTCAGAAAAATGCAACAATTCTGGGTAAACATCTTGAGCAATATGTATCGCTAAAAACCAGACATTATAAATATTCAATCACAAGCTGTGTTTTTAAGACCATGACTTATTGTTTTTATTTTTCTTGCAGCCATTGTTCTTTTCTTTTCCATTTGAAACTCACTTATTTCTGCTTCTTGTTTTTTTGTGTTTGTGTCTCATTCCCCTCCCACCTCCAGTTTACAAGACATGGTGACTAAGTATCAGAAACGAAAGAACAAGATGTGAGGAGTTAAAGTTTGAACTTATGTTAACATATTTTGATTCTCCTTTGCCTTCAAAGGAAGATGATGCAGTATACATGCAATCATTTTTGAGAAATGAAATACAGAATATGGAATCTTCAACTGACGGGAAAAAATAGAGCATCATGTTGATACTGCATCACACTTCCAGGCTTGACAACTAACATCACAAACATGGTTTTCTCCTTTTTATGCACAATGCCTCATACATAATGTATGCATACTACAAACTGCATGCTTTTTCCAAGCCAAGCATGGTTACCCTCCCCAGAGGCGATTCCCTTACCCTGAACCCCTGCTTTGTAATGTTGAACTTTTGGATACCTCATGCTTCACCAGTGGGACTGGCTTCCAGTAACGGGTAAGAACAATTCTGAGTGCAGGCCGGGTGTAGATACATGTCCGCAGGGTCCAGACCATGGTCTGTCCCCTGGCTGTCTAACTCAAGAGCCAGAAGGGTCCACATGCAGACTTGTTGGACGCTGCAGTGCCTTGTACAAACATCTGCGAGGGCTTGCTCTGCCCTCCCTCCTTCTTGGCCTTCCTTTACCTCTCTCTCTCTCTCTCTCTCTCTCTCTCTCTCTCTCTCTCTCTCTCCTCTTTGTTATTTACACTCCTTTGAATTATTCACACTTCTGTTCTTGGGACTTAGCAGCCTCTTAAGGCAGGAAAGGAAGGCGTGTTCCTCATCAATCTTTCAATCATGAGGGCTAAATAATGAATAACCCTCAAATGTCCTACAAAAAGCCCCCCAACTCATCTGGCAACGGCCTACAACAAAGTACCAGCTCTTGGTATCGAGCCATTTAATTCCCCTGTTAGTAGTCCTTGGTCTGCACTGTTTGCCACTTAGAGCGTTTTCCAGTTTTAAAAACCCTTAAGCTCTGAGCACCACTTATTACATCATGTGAGAAAGTATTAAAAGCTAATGGCCAGTCTGTGCATTACTGATCAGGTTTAGATGGATGTGCCATTCCAGAAATGTTTGTTTGAGTTCATGCAGGGATGTTGACCCTTCTGGCCTGATCATTTAATTGGGGAGTTCATGTTGCATTATTGTAAATGAGACTGGCTACAAGAGGTTTGTTCGCTAAATACAAACCTTAGTGCAGAACAGTAGTAGAGAACTGATTATTCTGACTTTCCCAGCGCATATGAGAGAATAGACAGGGCATAATGAATGACAAATGAGGAGAACAGATATTTTGAAATGTGCTATAATTAGGAGCGTTGTTCCACGACCCCGTTCTTGAGCCTATATTCTACGCTGAGACATAATTTAAAAAAAATGTTGTTTACAGTATATCGTGAATGATTTGAAATATTTATGAAGATTTTCTGGTTAATCATTGACTGGAAAGTTGAGCTGTAAATGCCACTGAACATAAACAGATCATAAAACATTCAAACTATATATATATATATATATATGTATATTGTTTTCAAATTAAAACTGAAATAAAAATAATTTAACCTAAATATAAAAAAAAAAAAAATGACAAAAGCAGATGTGTGTGTGTGTATGTATATATATATATATGCTTTTGTCTTTTTTTTTTAATATTTAGCTTAAATTATTTTTATTTCAGTTTTAGTTCGTTTTTTTTTCAACTGAAACTTATTTCAGTTACATTTCAAATTTCCGTTTAGTTTAACTTTTTCATCTAATATTTATATTTTATTTCAGCTATATTTCAATTAACAAAAATGTTTTTAATAGTTTTAGTTAACAGGATAATAATCCTGGCTTAGATACAGTTCAGACATGCATGTAAAAAGGCGTTTGACATGAAGGGAAATGTTATTCACATCATTTGTTAATATATATATTCAAGTGCAGCTCTCAGTCGATTTAAAAATGTAATCATTAAGTGATTTATTAATGAAATGAATTGCAGTTACATATATTCAAGTATTGCAAATTTTGCATTAGTATGTTCAAAAATTACACAAAAGCATCATAAAAGTATACTAAAATAGTAGTAGCCTATGTTGTCTATTCATCAAACAAAGCTATCATGATTTCAAAAGATTTAGAATGTTGAATATTGTACCCAGGTTGTATTTTTATAACTTATGACAATTTTTTTCTTTTTTTTTGGTCATTTTGCAGCTTAACAGCCCCCGTTCCTATTCATTTTCATTGTATTGAAGAGTGTGGTTGTGAAAAATGTAACTATTTTAATTTCACAGAATATAGTCATGTTGGTTTGGAATGATATGCGAATAAATAATAACCATAACATTCATTAATTTTTAGGAACTATTCCTTTTTTCCTCTCAGTTATTTAATTTTTAGACCGATTTTAGACAGATGTTTGACATGTTTTAAGTTCATATACAATTGGTAAAGAAATAGTCAAGAGACAAAGCCAACAAACTGTTGCAGAATATAAAAGTCCACATTCTCCCCGTTTAAGGGTCAGGGCTGAAGAGCGAGCGGGGATAGAGAGAGAAAACAGAGTAGAGAGACAGAGACTGGGAAGGAAAATAGAGGGGTTGAGAGAATTCTGTAGGTGCTAATGATAAATGTAATAGCTTGTAACAGAGATGTACAACCAATGGAGGCACGTTGTCACAGACAATTAATGTCTCTCCTCTCTCACTGTGTTGTTTGTTTGTTCCCCTGGGCTTAGGTGCAGCTTAACTAATGGTATATGGTCAAGGACATAAATTGTGTGTGACATTTTGCATTAGCGCTTCATTACAAAGACCCTGCTGTCCCACTGTTTAGCGATGGGCCGGCTAGCAGAGCTCAAGGCTTATTCACACAACATTCTCAACTCCGTTTACCTCCAGGGCACTAGGGCTTACACAAGAGCCAAAAGGGCTCTTGAAGAAATACACACTCTGGCACTCGTAAGTTGCCTGCCCGTATCGGCGGAGTGCTCATTTGACAACAAATTCTTTTGTCCTGAGTGTATTCGCTTGAGTGTATCAGATCTTCTCATTTAGACCCTCTCCAGCACCCTGACTGTGAGCGTACAGTTAGTGTTTAGTGACATCTGTGCTATCTCGTGGGTCCATGCATATATAATATTCTCATATGCATAATACCACAAACGGAGAGCTAAGCAGACTGGAACCCTAATGTCAGAGAAAAGCAGCTGCTGCTTCAGAGTTAACCTTCTCTCTACGCCTCAGATAATGAGCTACTCTATGTAGTATAATTTCATTGGGAGATATTTGACTCCTACGGTGCTGGAGGACAATAACAATAATTATTAAAATTTAAATAAAAACAAAATTGTGAAAAAAAGGCCCAGTATGTAATTTGCCATCATAGTATATTCTTTAAAGGTCTCCTGTTTGTGCATATATGGAGACGTTTTAGCACTCCAGGTCCTTGAAGGGCGATTCATAGTTATTCAATACGGTGTGCTATGCGATAAGTGAAGGATAAGATTAATCTAAAGAGGCAGGGAAGCATTGACTTGGAGCCAAACATAAATCCAATGGTTTTATCTGGTCCAGAGAAATGAGCAAACAGGACTGGGATTCCCAGCGCTGCTTTCCATGCAAGGTGTTAATGCATCTGCTCCCAGGGACATTCAGCCCGTGTTTACTCGTTCTTATTGACAGCGCAACACTTCCACACAAAACCCATTTGTATCCAGAGATGCATGGTATTGCTAGCATGGTGAGTCAAGTTAATTGCAGTCCCAAAATGGCCCGTTCCTTCATACCATCCTTTAACATGGTAGTCCAAGGCTAATTAGCCTGAAGGCCTTCTTTTTATAAAGGAGGATCTTTCACAAGCTTTGCACTACCTGTAATTCCTAGTTCAGTTTTTATTCAATGTCAATATCAAATTTATTTCTAAAGCACAGTTTAAAACAACTTAGAGTAGACCAAAGTGCATTACAATTATACACTTCAACTATACATCACAGTATTTTTATAATAAATTAAGCTTTTCAGCTGTTTCAGTGGCTAGCTAGCTGCTTACTGCCTACATAGGTACACCTCAAATCAGGAGCATGTTAATGATCCCTTAAGGCTGGGACACACCAAGCCGACTTCAAAGAACTAGCGGCGACAAACGCCGATGGTGTTGTCGCCTCATGTCGGCAGCGTCGGACCAAAAAGTTGCGCTCTAACACACCGCACAGACTACAGCGGACGGCAAACTAGCACGTGCATTCTGTGCATGTGTGAGAGGAATTAACTGTCTATATCAGCAGCTATCAATAGTATATATTCATCATTCAAAAGGAAAAAAAATAAATAAAAAAATTTCCGAAATAAATGCAGATATACGAAACGTAAAAAAAGCAGCACTTGTTTACCATTTTGAATATCAGTAACGTTGATAACTTTAATCATTTTAAGTGGCTCATGTTGTTGTGAAAACATTCGCGCATTAGAATGATTGGTAAAGATCACGTAACATTTAAACAGCCTTCTGTCTGTACCGCCTTCATTTACGTGCTTTACTCACTTTAATTCTCAGGCACTGACTCGTTCGCTAAACTGAACATCCAAACAGAGCTCTCACTCGTGCCGACGTCCCAAACATGTTCAATCGGGCAAACTGCCGCCGACGTGAGCCCGACGAGAGCTGACGAGTGGAACACACCAAACAAACTAGCCCAGCCGTCGCTCGCTGTTGGTGTGTCCCGGCCTTTAAAATGCTGCCTCCGCCGGCAGCCAGCTAGATTTTGGAACAGAGCTATTGTCTGCTAAGCTACAGTCTGAATGGTTTTTCTCTTTTCAATGCTGTCCTTTCTTCTGGTTTGGCTTGGAGTTGTACTGACCTCATCCTTTTTGGATGCTTCACACATTAAACAAAGCCAGCAAGCTGTAGGATACTGTTGTTGGACAATGAGTCTGACTTACTAACACAGAGGCCTTTTCCAGGTTTCTAGAGATTGTGCGCATGTATCCATACTGTTGTGCCTCCACCATAAATCCCTGTGTTCCTCCTACTAACAGTATTTATGTACAGATTCTGCTTGTTCATTTTGCTGACATTCCCTCTCTTCCTCCTGCACAGCGAGGGCGCCTCTGATACCGATTCTGAGGTGGAGGACCGCGTTGACGGGGTGAAATCATGGCTGTCCAAAAACAAGGGCTCTGCCAAGAACATGTCAGATGATGGTAGTCTGAAGAGCTCAAGGTCAGTCCTGCAACGTCATTTCCCCCGTTACCCCACAGAATGGTTTAACCCGAACCCAATGCAGCAAGCAAGAAAAAGGTGTTTGGAAAAGCTAATTAGCAAGCGCTAAGGGATTTTTCTGTTGGTATTGTCTAGATTATTCTCCCCATTGTCAGCAGTTTGATAACAGAGGCTTGTTAAAAGGGAACGGCTTCACATGTAGATTAATGGATATGCCCATTGGCCAGTTGGCATGCCTACCTGTGCCTTTCTGCTGAAGATGAATAGGTCTTCCCACCGGCGGACACTTTCGATTTTTCCTGTTTTTTCTTTTTACCAGAAGATTTAAGTTTGACTCTTGAGGTTCTTGCTCCTTTTTAAAACCTTGAGAACTTTTGAGGCAATCATTTTGATCATTTTAATCATATCTGTGAGGTGCAGTCTTATGGGAAGTTGGCTTCAGATTACAGTCTGTAAATTTTTTTTATTAAAGGGGTCATATGATGCTTTTTTAAAGATCATTATTTTGTGTATTTGGTGTAACAGAATATGTTGACATGCTTTAATGTTCAAAAAACACATTATTTTTCAAATACTGTACATTATTGTAGGTCCTCTATGCCCCGCCTCTCTCAAACGCTTCGTTTTCTACAAAGTCCCTCCTTCCGACAAGCGCAGTCTGCTCTGATTGGCCAGCTGACCCAGTGCATTGTGATTGGCCGAACACCGCAAGCACTCGTCGGAAATGTAATGGCCCTTACCATAATCGCGAGCTTCATCTTTCATCTTTCTTTTTGAACAGTCAATAGCAAATACTTAAACTAATAACAAAACAGTAGCTGATTCAGAAGCGCCAGTAGCATAAATCATCCCGTAAAGAAGTTAGAGTCTTTTTCAGTACCCGTTTTTATGCAATTACCTGTAAGATTTCTGCCTAAAAGGATCTTTATGTCCATATTTATATGTAGATAACCTGAGTTTATAGATTAACTATTGATTTTGAATCACAGAAGCTCAAGTCTTCCTTAAGTGCCTTCTATTCCATGCTGTCACATCAAACTTTCATTTATATTCTGCACTGTCTGCTTGGATAAACCTCTACTGTTATTTCTCTCTTTGGGTGTCAGTCACCTTTTAAGTTTTTATTCATGTATTTTCTCATTCTCATATTTCCATCTCTATCCTCTCCTCCCTCTCTCTGTTTGTGTTTCTACTCTGTGCACACCTTGTCTGCCCCTCCTTCATCTAGATTTGCTGTAAATGTTGACGGAAAGGAGGGAAAAGAGTGGGAAGAGGGTAAAGAATGGAAAGACAGTGGCAAAGGTAAAGAGTTAGAATCCAGCAGGCCTGTGTCTGTCATGAGTTCCCTCAGCTACAGGAAACGCTCCAACATGAAGGACTCCATTGGAGGTAAGGGAGACGAGAGTTCGCTCCTCAACACCCTCAAAGAACAATCTGATTCCCAGGAGCTCTCCTCCTTCCGCAAGTACAAAGTCAAGCAGGAAGCTGAGGATGACTCCTATTCTGTCAACTCCTGGAAGAAGGCAGGAGATGATCTTGACGATCGGGGTTCTGTCATCTCTCAGGCCTACTCGGAAGCGGCCAGTCGGGCAAGGAAGGGTATGGACAGCCGCTGGTCGGAGTTCGATAAGGAGTCCGTTGTGTCCTCTGTAGCCCCGGGCCGGGTTTCCACCCACCGTACTGCGATGGATATAGATGATGATGCTATTTCCAGCGCGAGTCGCATGAGTTCAGTAAGCCGGCGTCGGAGCATGCCTCGTCTTGACGACCGCCAGAGTGAATACGGTTCAGCCATCAGCCCCAGCCTGAGCCACCGCAGCCCAGGCAGTGTGAGTCGCGCCGACTCCCGCATGTCGCTGTCTCGCAGCTGTCGCCTCAGTGAATTTGACGTGGATGATGATGCCCAAAGCATAGCATTCAGCGAGGCACGCTCCAGCGCTTACAGCCCTCACTCAACTTCCGGCCGAAGCTTCTCCATGCCTCCACAAGCCCGGACTACTGACTCCAGCCCGCCTGACATCTCGGACGTCAAGCCGGTCAGTCACCGCAACTACCTGGACCCTGACCTGGAGGCCGCCATTAATGAAGTGTTAAGCTTCAAACCTATCAAGTTCAAGCGCACCAGCTTGGAAGACTCTGAAGCGGAGAAAGATAAACCGGGTGAGGAGGAGCATGACCGGAAGAGTGCCAGCAGTTCCAGGACTGGCAGAGACAGTGGCCGTTCCTCCAGCTTGCGCCGTTCTGCTTCAGCCGTGGACTTTATGTGTTCCAGCAGTAGCCTTAGCACACGCAGCAGCCGCAGCAAGAAGGGCAAGAGCAAGAAGAAGAAGAAGAGAAGCCACAGCTCGGAATCAGACAGCTCTGATGATGACCGCAAGAAGAAGAGCTCCAAGAAGAAGAGCAAGAAGTCCAAGAAGAAGTCCAAGAAAGAGTCTTCGTCTTCCTCCTCATCCTCGGCGTCTGAGTCTAGCACAGAGTCGGACTCCAGTTCAGGAGCGTCCACTATTTCTTACAGAAGCTCCAGCAGTATCAAGAAAGCCCCTGGCAGGCAGGCCTCAGGCTCTGAGGGAGAGCTGGAGCCTGAAGGCCCCTCTGAAGGACCTCCTCCACTGTCCAAGAAAGAGGAGAAGAAGAGGAAGAAGAAAGTGGACAATCTTGTGATGAAGTACCTGTACAGGCCTGACAGTGACTAAAGATGGCAGTAGGTGATACCTGGTGTGGAGTGAAGGAATGCAACAAGCATGGTGTTAAACTAATACTCAAGTACCTCAGTACCGTCTGATATCATTCATTGCATTTTACCATAACTTTACTCTCTACTTACAGTTTTTCTTTAGACTGTGTCATTACGCACATTTTTTCCCCCAGTCATTTTTGGAGTTCTATATCAGTAGTTCTCAACCTTTTTGACTTGAAGGCCCTCCTGTCTAAGCTGATATGTAGCTCTGGCACTTCAAAATATGTCAGTTTAATGTTATAAATCTTTTTACCATTTGAATTAAGCCTCCTGGTTGAGAACCTCTGTTCAAATATCATTAACTGAAAAGACTTTGTGATGTAGTACCACAAAATAACACTGTTGTAACAAGTTAGTTTGAAATTCTTTCTCTGGTCTTGGACATGATTAAACAGAAAATCGATTAGGACTGCTTGCCAGCAATTATGACAAAGGGAAGATAAGACTCAGTGACACGAAAAGTTACATGCTTTCTCTACATCGGTCTGTTCGCTTTTGTATAATTAGAGGGCACAGTTCATTTATATGTTAATTCACTGATAAGATAATGAGTAGACATCAAGAATATTAGAAGTTGTTTAAAATGGACCATAGATTTTTATAGCAGAAGATTTTTAATATACATCATTTTATTTGTATTCAACTCTATACTGGCTTGACTGTGGGTAGACAGACAGCGACCGGCTTGGCCGTGATGATGGCACCTACTTCAAAACTAGGGTGCATAATATATCACTACTATTTCAGTTATCAGTTGATAATAGTTATTAGTTATTATTTTGGATATTTAATTGTTCATGCTCACTTCCCTTATTGTTACTTTTAAAGTTAATCTTCGAAAACACTAATAATTTCATTAATAATAAAGTTACATATTTAATAATTAAATTTACCACTGTTAAATTTAATCTTTAGCAAATCACAAAATTATTTTTGTACATTGTAATGCTGTGATGCTTGAATTCACTTGTGGCATTTACTGTGAAATTATTGATTTTAGTTTAAGTTCAATTTTTAATCTATTTAGACAAAATAGTAATAATTTTTAAAATCAGGTATTTATCTGTTATCAGCCATAACACACACAAAATAATTAACTTACCATTACAATCATAAGTTTTGGTATTTTTTGCTGTTTGCTTGTACAACTTCACTATCAATTATCCAATAAGGTGATGTTTCAGAGCACTAAACTCGGTGTGATTTGCATGTGATTTGTGTGACTCATTCTGCACCTCTAATGCGTCACCAAAGATGATACTGAATTGTAGGGCCTTTTTAAATATTGTTACCCCACATTCTGAGTTTTGATTGCTTCAGAGATTATCCTCTTTGGTCTCTCTTTCCACATGCTGATCCTAATCAAAGCTTCTCTGTCTCTCCCCTCCAGCCCACCCTCAGGTCGCAGACGCTTCTGCCATGACAGATCTGACGAGGAAGAGGAAGAAGAAAAAGAGGAAGGGAGCGTGGGCCGAAGCACCTACCGCTCCCGCTACAAACACAGCAGCTACCTGAATGACAGCGATGGCGAGACCACTGCATAGCCGCCCCCCACGGACACATTCACATGCACTCACATCCTCAGAAAGGACTTTTGAGTTTATATCAGTGTCTTCCTTGAAATCTGATCCAGATGAGAGGATTTCAGCGAGAGTGGAGCATGATAAGGATGCACTTTGACAAAGATATACCCTTCATTTCTTTTGACTTGTTATTAGTATTATTATTTCACATGTGCTTTGTGTTTAGAGCTTTAAAAGGTTTGTACAGCATCATGAATCACAGCACTGTTGACTCTTTCCTCTTTGTGTGCTTTTACTTCTGACGTTTTTCCTCTTCCTTTCTAAATAAGCAGGGACTTTACCAAATGCTGTGCTTGCATTCTTACTCCGGTCAGATTCAGTAATTGATATTGCTTGGGGCAACACGCTACAGCCTCTTGCATGGTCAGGCCTGAGCCAAAGACACATGGCATTGTGCAAACGTGACATCTCTGGATTTTTCTGTTGTGCTAGATTTAAAAGAAAAGAAAGCCAAGAGTAAAAGGCAAAGAAAATATTGTATTACCAAAAAAAAACTTTAGGGATGTGAGCAAATTAGTTTTTCATTCTTGACAGTCGAGGTGGGGCTGATTACTGTTGTTTTCACAAACCTACTTGTATCGTTCTCTCTTCACCTCTTCACTTTCATACAGTGAAGGATTCATGTTTTTTGCTCGAGTAAGTGAGAGGAGGGAGCCCATTTCTCCTCTCGTTCTTCACTTTGTTTTGATGTTTTAAGTGGAGAGGAAAAAAGGCGATCAGGTCAATGATGCGAGAAGAGGGCAGCATTTTGGGAAGATCAGGTCTGGACTCTAAAAGCTTTTTTTCCCTCTATAATATGCCTGTCTTGTTCTGTTTTGACTGAATTGACTACAGTAAGTGTTTACTCATAGGAGACATTGTATGGCTCAGCGGTTTATTCCCACACTTTCTCGTTGTGATTATTGTTCTCAGGCTTTTTGTTCTGGTTAGCATAGATGTCCGGCTTTCCCAAGGGAGTGTCCATGATTTTGGCTATATGGGGCATTGTGGTTATTTATCATCCAACTCTACCGATACTGGATAAACTGCTTCAAAGTTGCTTTTTGCGCTGATGTGATGCAACCAGAAGCACGAGATGGAGACGTTTGACAGAACCGATACTGTGAAATCCCAGCTTCCCTGCTGCATGTCGTCACATTGGATTCATCAGTATTTTTGGCCTTACCTAATGACTTTGAGACTCACTTGAACTCGTACGGACATACACCCCTCTGATTTCCATTGTTGCCTTCTGTTTTGTTGTTCTGCTTTCATTGTAGTATTTATGATCTAGCGTTGATGGATTGAGCGAAGCTGCCAAAATATAAAGCAACAGCATATAAAGGCAGTGAAAGGATGTCATTACTTCTCTTTGATTTTAAAGGGAGACCGCGTGTGTTTTTTATATGGTTTTATAGACCCTCTGCAAAGGTCAACCACTTTATCCTCTTTTCTATGCAGTCAATATTGATTTTAATATGAAAAATTAGCTTTTTATGATGTTTCCGGTGAATTAAAACACGTGGCTACAAGATGCATAACATTTGCTGGCTGTACACATTAATATAAATATCTGTATGATTTATTCTAGCTTTCAAAATAGCCAATGTTTATTTTCTTTATTAAATAAATGACCACTTGATAAATAAGTTTGCATTACAGTTTAATATATTGTAAATAAATGATTGTGATTGTTTTAGACTTGTTTCAACAAGCTTATTTCATAATGCATTTTTTAAATTGCAGACACAAAAGGAAAAAAAATAATTTTGGCATGCTCAACATAAAATTTTCTTCTCACGTTTTAAAGCTGCAGTGTATTATTTCTGCACCGTTAGTGGCATCAAAGAGACTTTTTTTCAATAAAGTTATTTCAATAAAATAATAAGCAATAAACAATAATGAGATGGTTCATCTTAAGGGGTTTATCCTTAAAGAATAAATTTATTGCAGTAAATTGAATTTTTCCAAATAGGTTTCCTAAAACCTTCCATTATTTGGAAAACAGGTCGTCCCATCTTGACCTTGTGCTATTGGTTTGAGCATAAAAATGTCTCTTCTCAACTCTATTTTAGTCCAGTTTTACTGCAAAAAATAAATAAAATACACACAGCAGCTTTAATTTTCTTATTTATACAAAGCTTTTAGATTTTGATTGATCATGTAAGTAGGAAGATAAAACCTGCAATATTCGTCATCTCTGTAAGAGCAACAAATTCTGTGTATCTTTCTTACATTTCTCAGAGATCAGGCGAAACATCTGAATGAAGCCTTAAATTTCAGTATTTAAATACAAAATATGCATTCAAATTACACAGAGTAGAAAAGCCCTGCCTATGGTTCACATTCAACAAGCTTTTCTTTTCCATTGGCTGTTTGCTCCATTGCACAATAGGAAGGCTTGCAGTAATCTGTATCAGCTAACAATAGGAAAGGCAGCTTAACTGGGCGCAGCTTGAGCTTTTCATTGGCTCCATCAGTGCAGTCCAAGCAGAGAAGTAGGTGAGATGAGTGTGCTTATGATCCATATTTCAACTACCCATTCAATAAATAATTGCTATCTTGAACACACATTTGACATGCCTTATGGATTATATGCAGAAACACCTACAGTACAAATGTATTGCTGTTTTTTAAGAGTCTGACCTTTATAGCCATTTATAAATGCAGGTTGTAAGCTTGAATTTTTTATTATGGACTGTTATTATGACAGCAGTACAAATCAATACTATATAATATGGTCTGGCATAGCGTACAGTGTTCTTTAAAAACATTATGTTAGTCTGAATTTAAAGGTGCTGCAGTCTTTTCACAGGAGCATCCTTTCATTGTGTTACACAAACACCTGCTGTGCATATAAATTGAATTTATAGATAAGATAACAATCACATCAAACCACTGTCTGTAAGACACCAGTCTTTTTAAAATCTATATTCCTTTTATTTATTTGTTTATTGTGGAATTTGCAAAATAATTCCTGGGTTTTAACTATTATTATTGATAATATTATTATATATTATATAATATTAATAGTATTGTTGTTGCTATGTTTATTTATATTTTATATAATAAAATAGTTACAAATTATATAATTAATTGCGTATTAAATATGAATTAATTAAAATGCTGCTATTTATATTTTATTCATAAAATAAAATGTATACAAATTCTAAAATTGTATATTAAACTAAAATTATTATTGTTAAGAAAATACAATGTATATAAATTCTAAAATTATTTCATTAAACATTTTATAAACGGTAAAATTATTATCATTATTATCGATAATTTATATATATATATATATATATATATATATATAATATTAATATTATTGTTGTTGATGTTTATATATTAGATAATAAAATAGATACAAATTATATAATTAATTGCATATTAATTAATTAAAATACTGTTATATTTTATTCATAAAATACAATTTGTACAAATTATATAATAAAATATTTTTTAAATTAAATTTTAGATTCTATATCTATTTTATCATATAATTTATATCTATTTATTTATTTATTATTTAATATTATTATTTGCATTAGGGCCCAGAAAGCGGAATCCTTATATGGCTGCATTTAAATGTCCATTTCTGTCACACACGCATTATTTATATATATATATATATATATATATATATATGTAATCTAAAAATCTTACATGCAAGTAGAAATCTATATAAATCCTAATGCAGTAATTATTGGAAGGCATGGGATGTATTGTGTAAAAGCCATGGCAACCGTATAATTATTAAACTTGCTTCGTACCATTGTAAAACCAGTTTTAAAGACGCTTAAGTTGTTCTTAAACATGGTTCTGGTGGCAAAACTAGCAATTACACCCCAGTTTTTTGTCCTTTGTAGCTGTGTAACAAACAGCAGCTGTCAGTCTCTTCCCACTCATAAACCATGGGCGTCATGAACGTGAACACTAACTCAAAGAGCTACACTCCCTCCAGCAGTCCTGGGGCACTGCTTTATGTGTGTGTTCCAATTATGGCATGCAAGCATGTCTCTGTGACTGCAGCTCAGGATGAGTGTGGAATGGCGTGAGGGATGATTTAGGCAGTGTGATGCACAGTTGCTGTTTCTAGGTCAGATTCTGCCTCTTTTAAGACCAGTACATTTAAGAATGCCTTCATCATCATCAAACTTTTGGAGGGGTGAAACACGTTTGACTGGTGACTGCATTATTCATGATCATGATCTGTCTGAGTCCTTCTTTACAGTGTCCTGCGCATTATTCTTTCCATGTGTACAGAAACAAAAGTCTCAGGTACAAAATGAACCACAAGAGGGTTTTTTTTCCTCAGGCAAGGTGAAACTGAGTATTGTTTTATATATATATATAATAAGGCAGCAACAGCAATACGATGAGACACAGTGGAACAGCTGATTAAAGTTTTCTAGCCTGTTTTCAATTAAACCTTCACTAAGTCCCGCCTTAAGCATTTCACTAACCAACCATTTTTACCATAGCAACTGTTGCCATTTTTTCTCTTTTACAGAAATTATCCCAAAATACAATAAAAGTCACATATAATAGTGATACAATAAGGTACCCAGATCATATAGCGATTTTAAAACTTGAAATAAATCTTTCAAATATAATTAATAGTTACTATGAAAGTTAAAAAAACATTTTTAAAGTCCATTTCAACCCATTTTCATTTCATTCCCATGGGGGGTGGAACTTATTGTATTAAATATGTTTGCATTATTTCTATTTATTATGATTTTCTTTTCTTATTGTTATACTTTCCTTTTTTTTATTAGCATTACATCCCTTGCTCACCAATGGATCCTCTGCAGTGAATGGGTGCCGTCAGAATGGGAGTCCAAACATCTGATAAAAACTTCCCAATAATCCACACGACTCCAGTCCATCAGTTAA